CGATGTTGTGATATCAATACAACAAAGCTTTGATTGAATTGTATAGAATCTGAACCCACATATGTCCAAAAAACCTAAACAAATGTTATATTTCTTTTGACATTTGCTTCCAATTAATAATATATGGACATTGTTCAGGATTTGTCCAATGTGTGTGAATACGTCATATATTGTCTTTCTGTTTACAAACCATAATATATGATTCGTTGGTTTTTATTGTTCTCTTGTACGTGTGTATCTAATGCATATACGCATTTGTTCTTTCATATTGCGTATGCTACTAACTTTTTCTATTGTTGTCATCAAACACATATATGCAAAAGTATATTTTCTTCTGAAAATACTCATGCTCTCTTGTTCGCATTTATTTCTTCTGGTACATTTACAAAATTATTTGAATTGAATAAAACCGAAGATACTTGTTCACTTTCGACATATGCTCTCACCCGCACTCTTTGATGTGTGAGCGTTAAATACGCCAATTAGTGTATGGAATATGTTTAAAGTGAACAAGCACCACCAATACTTTAGTATATCAGTAAATTTTTGCATTGCTGAACTTAAGAATGAATTCCAATATTTTTTTTCAACGACTTCGTAAACATACTTTAGCTCAAAAGCATTTAATGGAGGAATTTTGAACAAAGAAAAACTTGAAAAATAATATGGAGTTTATGTTCCATAATCTTTATTATTTTTCCTAAAATGTCTTGATCAGCATAGTTTACATTTATATATATATATATCATTTGTTTGCGCATAGTTTTGGTTAACAGAATGTTGAACTTCTTAAAAGAATCTGACACTAGATGTCTTCTGCTACCTTTTTTTTGTATGAACTAACAACTGAAGATAATGTAACTGCAAACTAAGGAGATTGGTCATAATCAAATCAAATGAATGCTCTTATTTGCAGACTAATCAATTTAAGACATGAGTCGCCAATAGCGCACGTAGACTGAAACTTTTAAATTCCAAGATATTTACAGTTTGTTATGTGCCCACACTACGAAATTTCATCAACACTTTGTTTTCTTTTTCGTCATGGATGGATGGAGTACGACTATTCTTATAAAAGAAAACAATATCACGCATATTAAAAACCAAATTCTACGAAGTCTAGATCAACATTTTTTTAATCATAAGGGTAATAAACAAAAAATTCTGGTTGCTGTCAAATTGCTTTGAAAAATGTGTGATATTGTTTCTTCTTATGTGAATAGTCGTGTTCCATTCAACCATGACGAATAAAAGAAAACTAAGCGTTGATGAAATTTCGTAGTGTGGGCGCGTAACAAATTGTAAATATGTTGAAATTTATAGGTTTCGGTCTACGTACGCTATTGGCAGCTCATTTTTAATCAGTTGGTTTGATATTAAGAACATTCATTTGATTCTACTATTATCAAACTCCTAAGCTTACAGTACACGATCTTTTACTCTAATCTATATAAGGTTTGTGGTGTCTTTCTTTACTATGAAATACATTTGGAAATAAAGTATCAGTCAATAAACAAAAAACAGTGAAGCATTTTGTGCAGTTATGTCAACATGATAGCAGTTGGTTTGCAAACAGTTAATCTTTTTGATTAGTTTCCGATTTTCTAGCTTTTCATCTGGCAAGTCGGGTTAAAATACTAGAAGCGATTCTTTCCTTCTTTTCTTAATTGTTCACAGAAAGAATAAGAAAAAAGTGCGTGTTTGATTCAGACAAGAAAAAAATAGAGACACTACTGATTTCAAAAAGAAATGAACAATTCTGAAAAAGTAAAATTTCAACCGGCAAAAGCTTACTAATAAAAATTACAATGGGCAATTGCCTATTTGCCCCTCCCTTGTCTACGCCGCTGCTGCGCAGAACATACTGAAGACAACAACACGCCATGTTAACATGTTTTTGTTCTATCGCAAACAGAAAAAAAGCTTTTTTTTTAAGTGTTCTTTACAAGCTCTATAAGAGTTACAATCCAATCACGTTTCGTTATTTCTCTTCCATTTTCTGTCAACGGGTTTTATTTTAACATCATTGATTGAAAATGACATGTGCTACTTGTGCTGTTACATCTGAGAAAGCAAGTGTTGGCGTCTCTTTATGTCATGACTGCCACAAAGATTTTTTGTCGCCAGCACTTCAATGAACACCACGATTCTTTGATTGGGAAACTTGACGAGTTGGTTATCCATCATAATACATTTCAAATTGATATCAATGATGACGGATGTTTAAATATTTTTCTCCATAAAAATGAATGCATGGGAAACAGAAACAATAACTAGGATTCGAACCACAGCAAATGATACAAGAACATCAGTGGAACAACTACCAACAATCTTTAAATGTATGACTTCATTTGCCAATGAACTTAAAGAAGGATACGAAGAAGAAAACTTCACTGAATCAGATCTGTTGCATAGAAAGAAAGATCTGAAGGAGATCAAAGCTATTCTGGACGCTATCGTAGTTTTCATAGCTAACAATGATCAACTAAACTGGAAAAAATTCCTTCGATTCGTTGATAGCTGGATCAATGCTTTTGATCTTCAGCAAGCGTGTGGTATGTTTTCGAAAGAATGGATCTAATAGATTCTGATAATTGTGAAGTGATAATTTAGATAAATTTGATTAAGAAGCCAAAAGATTTGACGAAAACGTAGATGCAATCAAGGCACTTTTGTTACGGTGCGAATATCCGTAACTACCCTGTGCGTCAGACTATTCTGGGGACATACGTTTTAAGCTAAAGTTGATCATGTCATTCAGGCTAAGTCTGAAATGTCTTCGGCTCAGTTTACGGATGCTATTGAACTTGTATCCAACCTTCATCAATGGTAAAAGTAAACTCATCAGCCCAACAGAAACTAGTTCCTAACTGACAACTACCCGTTTCAAGTATGTTTTCGCCTTATGCAATTCTTCATTGAAAAGCATTTCTGTTTAGGATCCAAAGACGCAATCAGAAGTAAAGACCGATACAATTTAGGGTGTGGGTATGGAGATGGATGAGTGAAGTGAAAGTCCACATTTACACTGGCCACATCTCACATCCACATCCCACCGTCCTTGAGCTAGATGCTAAGTTTAGTACCTTGACGCTGTAGTGATTTAAAAGAAACTTTTTCACGTCAAACAATAGTATCAGTAGTCGTGACGCCATTTAGATTGACAGTATTTCGACGTTTTCGAAACTATTCCAAGAGTTTTGAGTTGAGATCGAGATAGAAAATATTACTGTTCCAATGAAAGATAAAACATTGATATCTGTTGATGTAATTATGACACATTTTAGATAAAAAACATGACTGAGTCTCCTTGTTCGTGTTGTCAACTTTTCGGCAAACCTTTAGCGCGAATCAATTTTATAATTATAACTGGTTCACCAGACAGTATGATGTATCAACGAGTCAAACACCTGGTCGCACACTATTCAGGAATAAATCCGCCAGCTCAGAAGACCAATTACACCAACTATGAGTCTTTGATGACTATCAGCGATCAGCTCTTCAATCGTCAAACCCAAACAGAAGCCCTCGATCCGTCCGCATTGATTTCCACAGAGAAATGTTGCCATGGATTCGAGGTTCTTCCAATTCATATAAGTGATGTATCGAATTCTGCTCAATTACAAACATTTAAAAAAACTATTCTGGGTTTACTTGAACCAAAAACTGACACAGACATAGAAGATAAAGATAAAAAAGCGGAGCCTGCCAATTGGATTATGCTGAAGGGATCTTTGTGTTTAGAGCCCGCATTACTTAATGTGTTTCTTCAAGTAAAAGATGAGAATCTTTCATTGGTGAGCTTCACTTTCACGGTTCTTTGTTTACTGGTCAACGAACAACGACTCTTTGAGAATTGGATATCCCTTACTCAATCTATTGAAGAATATCGCACAAAAACGTACCCTGAATATGATGAACGCATCAAGAGATTCTTCTCTTTGTTGCACTCTTCAAACTATCTCCAACAGAACACATTACTTGTAGAAGAAAACAACGAATTAACAGATAACAAGTTGCAAGACTTATTAAAAGACCTCTTCCGAAATCAAACATCCAAATACCGAGCCATCCATGATCGACTCCGTTCTGATATGTTCAAATTATTACAGCCTCGCCGTCGAACAGTACGTGATATACGTGCTGTAAGAGGTTATTTGCAGAAAGATTATCAAAGGAATGCTAGTGATCTATTAAAACCACTTCTTAGTAATCTACAAGAATCCAGCACGTCTTCAAATGCTGCTCGTCAGGTAGTTCAATTGGTGCTCGATGAATTTGAACGTATGAGTGACGAAGAAAAGCGAGCTTACTATCGACAATTAATGTGCGGTTTTCGATCCACTGATTCCAAAAATTCTAATACAATTACGGCACAAATGGTTCATTATGCTCTTCGGTTGCTTGAAAATTATCAGGACACCTCAGTACCACTTATTTATTCGATCATTCTGGTGATTTGTAGATTAAGTCGTCATTTTGTCTTTCGTCATGAATTATTTAATAATACTCCTGAAATATACACATTGTCTATGGTGCTTGTTACTCAACGGCACTATGCTCTCACTATGGGTGGTCTTCGACTATGTTCAACGATTCTGAATGCTGATCTAAATGAACATAAATATGCTATTGCTTATTTAAAACATGATTCATTAGCATCAAGAAAAATCTTAGATGCAATCAAATGGTTTCTATCACCTTATGCAACACTACAAACTCTCTGGGAACAAGAATCAGAGCAGAAGCCAGATTCCGAGTAAGTCTGATTGTCTTTTCTGACTCGGCATCAATCTTCTATGATTAGGTCGAATAAGGAAAACTCACTAATAAATATTGCAGAAAGACAGTGTTTTCGACATGCTAGCATCTTACTTGAACAAGCCTGTGTGCGAAGCCTTGCCTCTTTATTCTATGGTTCAGCGGATCATTGTCAGCAAGTGACAGAAGATGATATATATCAAATTGTGGAAACGATTGATGTCTTGGCTGATTCTCGCATGACTAGTTGGCATCAAAGAGCAAGTGGATTTCGTTTGAGTGTTATGCTTATCAGTGATCTATGTGCTCTTCTAACACCGATTCTTTTATACAGTCCATGTTCCATTAGTTCTGCTCTGATAAATGAAGATCGTTTACTGTCAACGATTCCAAGAGCTATTCTAATGTTACTGAGAAGTGGTGCTAATAAAGTCGAGCAAATAGATACATGCATTCGTTTCTATACGAAGTTCGTGCAGTCAAAATACAAACAATCTGACTCAAGTGATGATACTGACGATGAAAAAGAAAGTGAAACATCGAAGGTAATTACATCTGATTCGGTTACTAATCCACTCGCGTCTTTATCTCTTACTAAAGATTTAATTTCATCATATTATAATTTGTATCAACAATTTCAAACATCAGTTTCACTAGATGAAAAATTAACACAACAAGAACAAATTCAAAATTTGTTCAATACAGAATGGAAGAAAATTGACACATTACAATTAAAACATGATTATGATCAGCTCAAACAAGCGCATCAATCAGTGAACGAAGAATTAGGACAGTTAAGAAGTGAACTGCAACGTAGTCAACTCGAACAAAACCGATTAAGAAAAGAAAATTTACAATTGAATCAGCACATAGATCGTCTCAAATTAGGAATATCGACAGCCGTTACTATCTCATCAGATGTTTTAACTCAGGTTTTGGCTAAGAATAATACCAATGATCAAGAAGATATTATCAGTCAATTACAAAACCTATCTCCTCATGAAATTACTGCCAAACAAGCTGAACAATGTATTCGAGAAATATACCATCGACGAACAACATTCGACGATCATGATATGCGAAAGTCTATTTGTGGATCACTCAAACATCTTGGTTCTGATCTATATAGCTCATCAGTGCATTTTCTTCATGAATTGATTCAAGTTAGTGCATAGTAGTTCTTCCTTTTTTTTATTGATCTGTCTCGTTTTAATAGAATGCTGAAGATAATATTTATGATTGTGCTATTATTCCATGTTTACGTATTGAACTTAATCATGATTATATTCTTTTATCCAACAATGAACAAGGTCTTCGAGCACCAGATGTTTTAGCTATTTGTAGCTTGGCTGTTAGTACGAAGACAATCGAGCAAAAACATATTGGTGAAAAAGGTGTTGGTTTCAAGTCAGTCTTTGCTGCTTCTAATCAACCAATGCTGATTTCACACGCCTGGAAATTCTGTTTTCAGGTACCAGGTGTTGATGCCATGTCATATATTACTCCATTATGGATCGATAATATTCCAGAATGTATTTCTAGTCAGGTTTCTAATTATAGTCAAAACACTCATCTCTATTTACCACTCAAATTGTCAGCACATACACTGGCTGCTGATCAGTTTCTTAATGATGTGGCCAGAGCGGTAGATCCATGTATTTTACTCAATATGAGACAATTAGAAAAGCTTGAACTTGTAGATCGACGACAAGAGAAAGTTATCATCATTAAAAAACAAGTGATTGGTTCAACAAAATTAGATATACAACCTAATGTAATATTTGAGGATTGTACATTTATGAACCTATCTGGATCGATTAATCAACTATGTACCTTAACAGGTTACAATACTTTTCGAGTGTACACATGTCATATCGATGTACCCAGTTCAATTGAACAACGACGAATTCCAACAACATCACTCATTATGGCATTTCCTTGTGAAAATGATTATTGTCTGACAGGAAACGTATACACTGGTTTGCCTGTTTGTGATCTTGGATTCAATTTTATGTTCAATGCTGATTTTCACTTGGTCACAAGTCGAGAAAATGTTCGTGAAAATGTTCCATTTAATGTTTATCTTCGTGATAACCTAGCAGTTCTTTTCGTTTATCTGCTATTAAATGATCCAGATTTGAGAAAAGATATTAGTCGATACTATCCATCATCTAATACTCATCAAGTCAAACATTCGTCATGGTGGCTTATTATGATAGATCGCATCAATTCATTAATTACTAAATATCTTTCCATACTATTCGATATTGGAACAGGTAAGTATATTCATCTCAAAACATGATCAATAATAGCCCATAAACATATTTAGGGAAATTGATTCGTCATGTCAATTCAGAATTAACATCACTGATATCCAATGAACAGTTGTATAATTGTGCTAATATCCAAGTGATCGATTCTAGTGATAGTTTCTTGACAATGGAACGTTTGAAATCATTTCAAATTCAATCAGTTTCTATCAAAGATGTGCTTGAATGTTTCCCAAATCGTGATGACACAATGAATGAATTTCGTCAAGAGTTTCGACTATGGACACAAAAACAAGATGAACGCTGGTGGTCTCAATTCTTTAATCATCTATCAAAAGCTATGACACCAGAAATTTCGATTACAATGTTATATAAATCGATCTTTATCCTTCACGATGATCCGAAACGACAATATTTGCCAACAATGAATGATGCGTCTTTACTTCTTTTTATAAATGATCATCCATCAATGCGAATGTGGAAACGACAAATAACACTTCTACGATGCATATCGCAATATGAAAGAATTGCTCTTCTCCATTCAAATAAAGTACAACTTCTGACAGAAAATCGATTGATTGAAATTATTCTACATCATCATTTACAGTTAGCTCTTTCATTGACGATAACTTCTGTAAACACAGAACTAATCGACGAATTATGGCAAGATTTATTGTATTTACGATCTCGCCTTGATAAATTTGACAAATCTGCCTCACTTCTAGTACCTATCAATGGAGCGTCAAGTTTTACTTTGATTCAAAATGCAATTTTACCAACAATATTCGGTGTAGATATTCGATCATTCATACCATCAATAACATCACCTGTTATTTATTATCCTTATTATGGCACACATGAGAGTCATCTGATTAATGATCTTCAATGGGAATATTTTTTTCTTGAAATGAATTGCCAACGATCATCTATTCAACTTCCTAAAGATTATAAAATCGATCAATTACCTCTATTACCGTCGTTTACTAAACTGACAGATGAAAAATGGACTCAATTGAGTGAATTGATTCTCTTGGCTCAAACACAGACAACTCGAGAATGTCTTCGTCAGTTTCCTATTGTGAGTGAGTCCAATACTGAACAACAGATCAGTCCAATTTCAGCTACTTTTGATGAAACTATGGTTACTGATTTACTGTCATTACCTCGTATCATTGTTCCATCTTATTGCCGTTCATTAGCCAGCAAATTTGGTGTTTGTGCTGAATACGATCTTCGTACATGTGTGACAATTCTGCAATTGCTAAGCGACGAAAAGAATACTAATATTGATCTATATATTCAATGGTTAGGCCGTTTACAATTGAATGTTCGTCAGCAATACGATACGATCGACCCGACCAGTCTACTCTCATCGTGTCAGTTATATCTTCCAGATCAAAAGCAATTCCATTCATTAAAAGATCTCTTAGTCATGTCTGATAATGATCAACATCGTCAAGCTATTTTATTAGTTTGTAAATATCGCAAATTACAACTGATCTCACCATCGATCAATCAAACTTATTGGCAGTTCAAAGATCTTTTTCGTATGTTAGGTTGTCAATGTGTAGTGAGTATATCGGATATTTATTCGACAATTTATTCCGCACGTCATGATAAAAATAATTTCTATGATTTGGGTGATGGTCAGACAATTCTGACCGAAAATGGAATGGAGGCTATGATAACTCTCTTTCAATACTTTGAAATTTTAATCATGATATGTGTTACTGAGCATGCCGTGGATACTGATTTATATCGAGCCATCGTTACAAACAAACATAAAAAAGCACCATGTGGTAGTCGAGAAGATCTTGAATGGCGTTTCTCTTTTACTTGTAATGAACTATCAACACAATTGAAAAAATTAACCGGAACACAATATCAATATAAAACGATATTTCTTCTTACCATTGATCGAAAACTTATTTCAACGAGGTCGGCTAATGTTATTTATGCATGTTTAGAAACGAAAATCATTCAAAACTTATCAAGAGATTTCGATAAACGTTATTTTATTTCACCAGTCATTGCTCGAACATGTCCATTGGTTTTGGCTGCATTCGAAATAGATTACGTCGAACGGCGTGGAAAAGTTAAATGGATACATAAAAATCATAATTTAGAATTGCATCTGGATCAATTGTCACAAATCTTTCAGAATGCTCTGGATGATAGACAACTCGAAGTAGTCATTGCAAGATATGCAAGTACGAATTTATATCTCTCCGATACGTTTGTCATTGATTCGATCAATGATGAAAATAATGAGCTAATCGATAGTTACATCATGGAAACGCATTATCCTTTTTGGGTATTCGATAAAACTGTTCTACTTTGTGCTGGTAATGCTAAAAAGGTTGCATCGACAGCAATCAAAGCCACATCGGCTCTGACTACCTTATTACATAAACGAAAGCATATACCATTCGAAGAAGCCAAAACGATCGCTCGACAAAAGATCAGTGAATGTAATGCATTTCAATCCGAATTAATTTCATCTGTGACTAGTACAAGTTCTATGATTTATTCATATTTGGATCTTGTTTTTCCTACTGACCATCACTCGATCGAGTCGATGACTATCTCCATAGGACGACATTGTACTGTTGAACATGATCCTGAAGAGAATACATCTCCTACTATTGCTGCAGATCGAATGGGTGAAGATAGAATCTATCGAAAGAGAGCTCAAACACAAAACCATCGTTGCCAAAATGAACGATCGTCAAGTAACTGGATGGATCCAAAGATTGTCGATAGTGCTGAACAAATTCGTATTGGTCATAATGGTGAGCATTTCTTCTTTGTCTACCTACAAAAACTCTACGGTACAGCCGACGTAACACCGATTCAAAATTGGCGCTCATCATCACGTCTCGTCGTTTATCCACAATATACACGTAATGTGGATGATTCGGTGGGTTATGATTTTGAATTACATGATACGCAAGAACAATTTGTACGAGGAACAGGGTCGACAACCAAGATATGTTATTTTGAAGTTAAGAGCACAAGTGGATCATTTGATAAAGTACATACACAATTTCATATTTCTCAAAATGAATTCGAAAGATGTCAAGCTATTGCAAATGATGCTCAAAGACGAGAGCGAGAAGCATACTTCATTGTTATCATAGAAAATTGTCTCGATTCAGAAAAAATCGCTTTGGGGTCTATCATCAATTGGTAAGATATCTTATATCTCTTCCTTTTATTTGAATGTATCTATATTAATTCAATTATTTTTTTCTTAGGAGTAATTGCTTAAATATCGTGAAAATGGTGGTGAATAGCTACCAATGCAGTATTGTTTCGCCATCGGCAACGAATTTAAATCGTACCAACAATAACACAGCCGAAAGTGCTACTGTTGATCATCGGCAAAATCAAGAACGACAACAATCGATGAGACCCTATGATAATAATCAAAATTCTATGCTACAATCTGCACGATCAAACAACGAAGCTTCTAGCTCTAATCGTAATCATCCACCTTCTCAGTGGAATCAACAACAACAAACTAGACAATTTCATGGAAGAGGTCGTGGCTGGAATCGAAATTCTCAACACCCAACTACATGAAACTGACAGTATACTTTTATGTTTTTGATTCAGACAGTTCGAGTTCATGGAAAGCTATTTTTGTATCCTCAATCAGAAAAATAAAACCAAAATTATCGTAAATCACACATCCTGAAATACATATTGCATCGATCTATAAAGAAAATTGTTGACTCTAAAGATGTCTATACAGCTGATATGTGAACTACTTAGTATAAAAAAAAGATAAAGATGAAATAGATTCATCAGTAGGGGTGTCGGTGTGGACGCGGTGTTTATGCTTCGAAAATCACATCCACACTCACCTTCTATGTGTATCATGCACTGGCTTAATAAATATTCATACTGCATCGAGTAGTTTACATTGCAAATATTGAATTTTATATGTAACCCCCTGAATAATTTTTTGCTGTCTATTTCCATATTATTATTAGAGATGACTGTGTATTCCATTATCTGAGTAGTATAGGTGGGTTCTGATATACGGTAATGATTAACATCAATCAATATTACACTTATCTTTTATTAGAAAAATGAAAATCAAAACCAAATGCGGCTTCATCAAGCCGAAGAAACAGGGAAAATATTGATTAATATTCATCCACAAGCTTCTGGATTCGTATCATTTGTACAGGTCCTCGTAAATCTTTTTCACTTCATACATAGTATCGCGTTATAGCCCATCGTTGTAGATCTGAATAGCCTTGATGGGCGACAACTGTTGGTAAGACTGCACTTCAGTTCACAATATTTTCAAGTAATAATTGCACATTCGTAGCATGAATAGTCCAGTCTACAAAACTACGACCATTATGTTTCTTGAATGACTTTTCTGATTGCAGATTCTTTGTTTAAGTATGGTTTACAATAAGTCTTTATAGAGTTCAATTTCTAGCAGGAACTAGAACTTTCAACTTAGCAGGACGTCGGATCGAGAAAATGAAATAACTATTCAGACAAGGAGTACAAAAACAAGTAAGATTAGTAGTGGAAGTAAATGAGTGGGAAAAACAAGCGTTAGGAAAGCTAAGATTTAGAAAAACTAATACAGAATATAGGCACCACTGATTTGAATAGATGAGATAAGGTAAATGAATGCATGTTAGAAATGAGCAGACTGGAGTTCTAAGATAAGTAACTAGTTAATTAGCATTACAATTTCACTTCATAGTTTTATGAGTGAACCTGTGTCACATTATTAGAGTAGATGAAATAAGTTTCACATACTTCCAGCTCTTTCATCATATGAACATGAATTTGTTTTGGAAAAATTTCATCAAGAACTAAAGATTCTGATGAATAGCGAAATCAAGTTTAAGAAATTACAGTGCTTTATGTGCTGAAATCCTCCTCAGTGCTTTCATGTAATAAGTTACTTCAATGTTGCATGGAATACGAAGCCAGCAAACAATGAACCTCCTTTCTCAGAAGCTTTTCGATTGGCGTTAGATGAAATTACCATAGGTGCTTCAGCAAGACTTCACGACAGTTACGTGCTTTTTTTAATGATACTCGATAGTTTGCTAAAGAGTTCGTTCTGCAACTGATTGTCTTAATCAGTCAAACAATCTGACTGATATTTCTTACATAGAAGCGACTTCCAAATGAATATTATGTTGTATGACTTTTAGAATGGGTTATTCAATGTACTTTCTTCTGTTTCATCTGTGCTGCATATGGTATGTCCATGCACAAAATCATCTCGGTATGATTAAATCAGTCGATGAAAATAGCTCAATACTCGTTTCTGTAGACTATTCACTTAAAAGCTCAAAAGGCTGTTTGATGCTACTCTACCATCGGAGAGAAAGGTCCGATCAGTCTTAGTGGTTTGTTATGAATTCAGTATCTCCAATCAAACGAAAATGTGTGCTCCAAAAGTGACTTGTTCCGATTTTGATAAAATGTATCAATGGTAAAACATGCAGCTCACAAAGAGCAATCTGTGTATCATCAATAGTTGCTGTCGATCACCGGTTTGCATCCAATAGTCTATCATGAACATCTGTGAGACCAATGATATTGGTAATAATAATACGAATAGCAACATGATTTGATTCCTAGACAGCTGTCCATTCGTAGTCTCGTTTAACCACGATACTCTGTTAACTCTGTTTTAATCAGAAGAACGGTATACAGTCGTTAGAGTATAATGCAGGAGATCAGCTAATATTCCTATGGAAGAGTTCTTCTCCTTGACTTTCAGTACTTCTTCGGTAACTCCAATAGCTTAGAGACGTGAATATCTATGAGTCAGTTTGAGTATCACTCCTACGTATTCATGCGCGCCTAATTTTTAATTCGCATGCACACGCAACATCTAAAGTTACAGATTCTTTATTTTCGTTTGAACTCGGAATATTATACGGAAGTGAAGGTCATCCCAAATGCAAACATCTAGGCAGAAGCCCTTAAGCTATTTTTTCAAAAATATTAGACCATTCATCAATCCACTATAGCATGAAAAAAGTATTTCAGTGAGTTGATCATAAAACTGTTCAACAACTGACCGCAACCATGGATAATTTTTAAGACTTTGTAGTCCGCTCAAGACACATGATTATTGATAGTATAGATTCAACACTTATCTGACAGCTAAGACAGTTGCCTTCTTCCTGAAATGTGCAGGCACGAATGTTTAGAGTAGATCTATGCCGACAGCCGCAGGCACAGCGGCATCCTAATCAGCAATCAGATCCCACCGATATCAACACGCACATTCAATGTCACTGAAGAAGCAAGGGCCGCTTGTAATCATATTACAAAACGAATTAGCCAATGCTAATTTGCCAAGAATTTTCTTTTTACATTTTTAGAACCACATCGAGGTTCGACGCTTCTAGCAGTCTCGCTCAAATTCAAACATGAAATAAAAATCAAGAACGGTAAGTCTAATATTTAATTTATAATTATTATTTCAGATTGGCATAACGAACTGAAAATGAATCATTTTTGAGGGCTTCCTCAAGATAAAGTGTGAGAATGAATGCGTCAGTCTAAGTAACAAGAAGATATATGTTCATAGCTACTAACAAGTTCTCTTGCTTAGCTTTCAGATAATTGTTTAAAGTCGTATGGCATGGCAGAATTTCATATGCTAACTGCATAATTTACCAGAACAGTTTTCGAATCTGAAAATTACAGCTGCTAATCTAAAAAGTTTCTCTTTCGGATGTGCATAAAAGACCCAAAAGTACACATCTGACGAACACTTCATAAGCTCTCATGGCGTTGAGGGCACTCATGGAGTGATATCATTGGATACATGAAGGATAGCATGATATACGAACATTGTATCGCTTGCCATCTTTAATTTTTAAATAGATGAAATGAACCTGGAGTACAAGAGAATTTTTATGAAAAAGAGTGTTTTTTCTTTTAATGAGCACTAATTTCTATTAAAGTATGCCGGTTGATTCTTCCCATATGAAGTAGATTTGCATCGATCTTTGCATAAATCTCATTACTCTTCTAGAAATTAATACTACTTTTTGCCGGAGAGAAAAACTACTGTCCACTGAAATATTTTCTTGGTAAAAACTCAACGTCTTAGTACGACTCTGAATGAAATCAACTAGGTAGCTCCTAATTATCTATTTTCGAATACTTGGCTTTTACAGATCTTCGCTTTGATCCAACCTTTTGTGGTTCTGATTTCTCTTTATCTGAGCGCAATACTTAGATTAGATCTAGTCTTTACAGTTGAGTGGCATTTATGCTGCATTGCGAATGTGGTCGTAATAGTTTCATCATGCTCGGCATTGTAAATGGCGATTTCGATGTGAGTGTCAGTGCTTATCCAGGTATCGATTCGAATGGATACGCTTAGTATCTTTATAATGGAAACAAATACAGGTCCGGGGTAGCGAGCACTTTTACTCAGGCTCAGCCACGCAATGACGACGTTATTGACATATTACTCGATTTGGAACAGAAGACGCTAACTTACTTCTACAACAGGCAAATCCTTGGTACTGCTTTTATGAAACTTTCTATTCAACCAGAGATTATAAAGTATTATTCAGCTGTTGGATTTTACGAATTCGGTCCTACCGTTAGCCTAATTCAGACGAACTCTGGAACTTCATTGTTCTATGCTATAGACCGACACTAATAAAAACAAATCTCAAGAGCCGATATCTTTTAAAGCAACATTCGACTTCTCATAAACGTTTAACATAACATTTCTCCACGTAATATTCGATCAAGGGAGTGTGCGTGTGAAATGGATGCAGATCAATCTTTGTGAGTCTTATTGCAAAAAAAATTATAGCATATCTATACCTACACTCATACAACCTACCCACATTGAAATATCAAACGAACAAACAAAGAAAAAAATAAAAGTAAATTTAAGATCATCAAATAAAACAGCTTTTAGCGTTGTCTCTTCGAGATTAATATGTAAAACACGATGGACCTATTCACATCAACATACTTGCTATATTCAACTTGATGAGTCACAAGGTGAAGAACGATATGAGAGAAACAAATAAACTTTATGGATAGCGATTCATGTGTCCCGGTTCTGGAAAATGATCTAATGAAAATGTTACTAAATTTGTTCGTAGCAGAATATAACGATGATTTGTGCTTAATATGAAAAGACTTGCAAGGCAAGAAAAGTCAAACGGTAAAGCATGAGATATACAGTAGTTTTAAAAGCATGCCACAGACGAACACGCATGCACACCTATAAACAAACATATTTTGTTTTAAGTCAACTTTCTAGATTCTAGACTATTTAGTCTAAGAAATACAAAGAAATAAAATACTTCAACCATTTCATTATTGACCCTTAAGTGTCATTTATCAAATGACTGTAAGGTGCTATTTCATTAATTGCTATAAAGTATCATTTCATAAATGACTCTAAGGCATCGGTTGAATAATGACTTTGAAAGTATCATTTAATTAATGGCGATAAGGTGTCATTTCATAAATGATTATAAGGTGTTATTTCAAAATTGCTACCATTTTTCATTATTAATAACACAAAAAAATACTGTAGAAAAGGTCGGTGAATGTTTTATATAGAAATATTTTTGGAAATAAGACGTTCTCTACACAGAAAACATTGAGCAATAGCAGGTAATACTCAATATGATACTGATCATAAATATTTGCTGTTAAATCATTCATGAAAACTAAGGAACCCTAGTTTTCAATATAATTATTTAAAAATTAAACTAATTTTCAATAACCCTTGTTGTGTCCCGTATACGACGAACTCTTCAAACTATATCTAGAGTTTCCCCGAAATACAGCGATAGAAGAACATTAAGATCTGTGCAACCTATTCGTGTGGTTCGAACCAACTCATAAATAGGGTTTTGTTTCTTATCATCTTCTAGAAAAGTTAATCTTGATCGAAAAGTTTTAAAAATTTCGATCTGATACAATATTAGAAAGTTGTCATCATATTTCTAAACGATTATTGCGACTCGAATAAAATAAAGGCAAAGATGCATCAAGGAAAAAACCTTGATGTTTGATTGGACAACGTTTATCTCAGACAAAATAGACAAAGATAAAAATATACTTACAGATGATAATTTCTTTTTGTTTTTTTTTTTTTTGATTAAGAAAATTCTGTTTTTTTACTAGGCTTCTTACAATCTTATTTTAAGTATAAAACTCGTCACATGAGGAAATAGCACAATATTTTTCTTGATTAATTTATTGAACTACGTAATCATCTAATTCTTTATCTATGTCATGATTAATCTTGTCAAAAATATAGCCAAATGAAAGAATAACACACATTGTTAACAGTATCTCGAGATATTATCTGCATCATTGACAAACTACAAATCAACCAATTCGCAACAAAACAAAAGCCAGCTGACTCTAATCTGTACATCAATATTCATTCCTTATGCGTCTACTATTTCATTTTCTTTGTTGAGTGTTTGTGTCTTTTATCTCGACGAGTTGTATGTTCTTTACCGTACAAAGCAACACAACAAATTTTCTTGCATCTATTTATCTTAATCTAACTATCTTTCTCCATGATATTCTTTAATTATCACCAGGACTATTTCAATAATTAGGCTAATCTGCATGTGCTATTCTCTATTTCTTCTTGTTAGATAATTATGCCTACTTCATTCTATACATATTTTTTCCTAAACACGAGAAGGATGTTGAGAACTGCTATAAACATCATAATATTCTATTAAGACTAGTATGTACGAGCTTGCGATCTATTTCAAGATTATCATTAGGGAGAGTATGACAATAAATCATACGGATATACGTATAGTTATTATATGCATAGCTAGATTTGCAAGAATATTTTAGAAACATCATTCACAAGCGGTTGGAATTTTCAATGATGCTCGACACACACATATCATTTGTTCGTTTGCTATAACCATTAACTCTCTTGTTTTGTTTTATCTGTCAGCTGTCTTATCTTCCCATATTCTATAAGCCGCTATTCTGTCTTCATTGTCTTTCTATACAAGAATTAATTTTCATTCTTTATTAAACTTCTCCTGAGAATAAGCGCTTAGCCAATTTGTACAAAGCGAATCCTTGTATAACTTCATATCTACAAACATCTCAACCAACCCTAAAGTGTTCTTAGATCGGATTTTTTTTCTAAAAAAATTTGATCTGAATGACAGATATAAGCCATAAGGTTTCTAATAAATTTTTTATTTTCTTTATTTAGTTATGGAGTTATTTTCATTAACAAGGAATACAACAGTAACAGACATAAAATGGCAAGCGTATCCAATTGGTTTTTTCCTATTACTGTTATGTCTATTCACTATAACAGGTAATCTATTAATTCTATATGTTATAATTCGCCAGTCTACGTTACATACATCTAAATATTACTATATTGCATCATTGGCATTTGCTGATCTCTTAGTTGGATTAATTGGAATGCCGTTAGCATTTATATTTGAAATGACAGATGATGAGTACTGGTTGTTTGCAAGACATCTTAGCTTTTTATGCGATTTTTTTTATTCCATCGATGCATTCGGAACAACAGCATCGATATTTGGACTGTCTGCTATTGGAATAGATCGGTACGTGGCTATTAAAAGGCCACTGGAATATCCAAATTCATTTATATCAAAAAGATGGTATTATGTATTGTCATTTATATGGATATGTTCAGCTGTTACATCAGTTCCACCAGTAATTTTTATTGGAAGAGAACAAGTATCTACTAGTACGTAAAAAAGAATATTTTCTTTTCTATTTAGTGTTGAGGTTGTTGCACTTTTATCTCAATAGTTTTGAAATCATCTAAGTTTTCATGTGCATCAATGAAACACAAATGAATCTTAGGCACTTTGTACGAATACGCTTTAATTCTAAAAAGAGTTTGAAAAAGTTTCTCGAACATGATTGTATACAGTAGTGTGAGCTGATTAATGGACGACATTGAACCAAAACGACAACCGTGAGCTCTTGTTTACTTTAGACACAGTATAACACAGAGACACATACGAACATCACTGCATGTGGGTAAGAGTTGTATCTAGAGTGAACAAGTACTATCGAATTTAACTAGTCAACAGAGTTGTTGCGAAGGGAAGTCATCTTCCCTCACAAACATTGGTTTTTTATCAGTGTATTGATCTTGACAACGATCCAGTTAGTCAAAGTCAAATGTCAAACTTTTACTCGTATTCAAAAACTGTTTTAATGGATGAGGCAAAAATTTTGTATTCACTTTCTTTTCAATATATCGTAGTAACGTATTATCATAGAGACTTGATATCTGTCTTGTTAGAAAGAGCAAAGTGTCAACTACAAGACTGGAAAAATATTCAATTCAAAATGTTTACCGAAGACTAAAGAGTCTTAAAAACAAGTTAAAGTGAAAAAGTGCATTTGAATTTCTTGAATTTAGAAAAAATTCTATCCACTCAGAAAGTTAGTCTTATTGTTTAGCTTCTATCAGATTTTGTAGTACTACCATCGAATATCATAATCATACAAAAAATAAAATTTTCAAATGGTCGATTGAATTTGAAATCAAAGTTGTCTGGACATTCTTTGCTTTTCGATGAATAAGATTTCTTCCAACATACAAGTTAATAGAAATCGTCTTGTTTATATGCAATTAACGCCTATGATGTCTTTCTACTAAAGCACATTCTGTGAAACAGAAATACAATTTTTTTGTTAGATGTTATGAGAAAAACTACATGGAAGGTTGTAGATAGGCCATCAAGTTTTTAATAAATATGTTTTTTTTTCTAAAGTCTGTAGTTTTGTCACTAGAATAATTTGGTGTGATTAGAAAACTCGTTTCACATTGTTCAGACCCACATATACCTAATCCTTAACTGTTACAAAAGGTTAGGGCTATGGTTTATGTTTTTATCTAGATCATATCATCAAAATTTATTGTTGTATCAGATTTAGAACGATCAAATATATCAAACGAGACAATAATTAAACCATTGTTAACATTATACGAATGTAATGTTCCAAACCATCCTTATTATATATTATTCATATCTATTACATCATTTTATCTACCTTTAATTATTATGATTTATGTTTACATTCAAATGTATTTGGCAGCTAAAAAACAAACTTTAGCACTTCGTTCTGGCTATAAGTGTCAGTATTTGATGCAACCTGCAAGGTCATCTATTACGAAAATTTCTTTGAGACAAATGTTCTCTGGTAGAGGATCAAGAATTAAAAAGAGAGTGGATATCTCAAATGAAAATACACATGAAAAATCAGAGATGTTACTACAAAAGCGTAAACCGTCATATGACGTATTAACTCTTCGTATTCATCATGGTAAATATAAAAATCCAAATATAGAAGAGTTCAATCAGAATAACGAACATAACAAAAAATCTGTGAATAAATCTTCAAGAAAATATGAACAAACAAAAAATTTTTGGCGACGAATTTCAAAAAATCAAAAAGCAGGAAAATTTGTTGCTATTATAATGGGCGTATTTATTATTTGTTGGTTACCATATCATGTTTATTTTCTATTGAGTGGTGTTTTTGGTTGGCGTTTAAAAGATGAACAAAATCATGAATTATTATTCAATATATTTTCATGGTTAGGATATACAAATTCTGCATTAGATGTCATTATTTATTCCTTTACTTCCAACGAAATAAGAATTATATTCAGGAAATTATTTTTTAAGTTATGCCATTCGGTATAAATAAAATAAATTGTCATTCTATGTAAATATTATGTAAATACAAGATTTCTAAATAATAAATATACGATATTTTTTAACGTTCCTTTTTTGATGATTCAACTTAATACTGATTTTTGTATCAAAGAAAAACAATCTTTTCTTAAAATAATAATCCGATTTAATCGTAACAATGTTACTTATTTGCAATTCCAATCGGACTAAGTCTATATGTCGGAAAATAATCTGATATATCAAGTATTTGCTGAATAACATAACTTCATTGAAACGAATAGCAATAAAATAGTATCATAACTTACAGTCATCGATCACTGGAGTAGAAATTCCCTCGAATCAATCAACAAAAAGTCAACGTTAGCTTTGATCATTCTCGATTCAAATTTTTTTCTTTTGTTGTTAAGTCTGAGTAGATAAATATTTGGAAATCTATCAATCTAATATATCTTTGTCAGCAAATATACTCATGTCATCTGCTATCAAACATTGAAGAATCGCAAAACTAATCGATTCTTCCATCTTTTTTTTGTGGTGGGCAGTTGATCGAGTGACATTTTCTATGAAAGATTTTCCTGTAATCTATCTGCATTATTATTGAAAAGCCATCATGATCCATCTATGTTATCTAATGGTGTTGCATGTGTTATTCTCATCACTGAATATCTTTTAAAACTCATTGTCGTTGTATACGTCGCATGGCTATTCGAGAGTTATCAAAAGATGTGGGGTGTGGATGTGAATAATTACTCTTCTCAACCACACACACACCCATACTCAGTCGTACACTGGCATATACCAATCGATTACGAAGGAAAACGGCAGCTATCTACGCTAACCATGCATAATATTTTCATAACATTGGGTACGTTTTTCAACTGTTTTAGTTTTTTGAAAATTGGTTGATAGGGTCTATGGTATCAGTAAGATACGAGAGTCTCAAAAGTTGGACTGATAGACCGGTATGAGTTATTTCTCACTTTTCTCATCCAGTAATTGTCAAACTAACCTTTTGATTAGTCATAACTACTTTGAATCGTTATAGAAATTACGTAAGACTTTTGTTTCACTATTATAGTGCTTTTTTGAAACATGATTGTTAATGAATGTTGAAGTATACGGCATGAAAATTGATCCCATCTCTTCCATCTTAGTCGAAAATCAGACACAAGCATGCTGATCTTCTTTCAACCTCCTGACAGACTATAACAGATATGTTGATATGTCTTTAATGAGCTAGTGGAGTTGTCGACATGCTAGTTTTTGCTACTTTCATGATCTGTGATGTTGATGAGAAAGTTTTCCAAAGGAAAAAAGCGAAAATTACGTACTTCAACATATTTTAAGGCTATGTCAAAGCAATCCTCTTGAGTTTCTTAATTATTTGAAGTTTTCTATCAATATGTGTTACAAGAATATTAATTTCATTCATTTTATATAAGTACTTTACTGATACTCAAATCTTGAAGTACAATAAAGTATTTGGATTAAAGTGTCAGATAGTCTTATATAAAAAGAATTAAAGTAATATGCTAGTGATACATGTTGACATTAGACTTCAAATAACTAAGAACCGCTAGAAAATAGCTTTGACAACTCTTGGAATATGCTGAAGTATGAATGAAATACGGAGTTTTTACTTTTACCCTTGGATTCCTCACAATAGTTTACATAGCCTCATCATGTTTAATATTTTAATTACGTAGGAATTGCGCTGAAAGCTTTTCCTTCACTATCGGCTTCCATGATTTTCTCTCTTTTTAGTTAATTACAATGACCAACATTGATTGTATTTTATTTCGATGAAAATAACATTATATCGAAGTGACTTCATAATATATATATATTAGACGTATAATTGATAAATATTGACTTCATAGAAATAGTCATTCACATTAGTAAAATTAATTTGATATGCGAAAAACACCACTTTTATGATCAGTTTTTTTGAAAAACCATTCAAAAACTCGAACACATCTATAGCAGCCAATATATCGGAGGGAATCGACCATTTGCCGTTACTATTTGCAACACTGATATGAGCACCGCAGGAAGACGAACACACACGAAGATAGACAAATCCTATGTTTTCTATATCTTCTCCATATCCTATGTATTAAATACCTTGCATATGTCAAATCTCTTTTATATCTACTATCTCCTAGGCTAATATTTATTAGGTTTCTTCGGAAACTCAGAAAAAATATCAAATCTGGTAGAGATTAATAAAACACATAAATTAGAATCTTAATAGAAATTTAAAAAAAGATTTATTGAAAAAATAACAAAGTTATATTAGAAAATATAGAGAGAACTTTTCTGTGATGCTTATGATAGGTAGAAAGAGATGAATAATTTCTCTTTGAAGAATTTGCATTATCATGGAGAAAAAAAAAAACAATTTCCATTAGAATTTTTCTCTCGAATAATAAAATTAATATGGTTGAGATGTTCTTAATCTTTTGGATTTTTGCGCTCATGAAGGTAGAAAGAAAAGGATGATTTCTACTTGAATAATTATGTTTTTATTGAAAAAAAAAATTATTTCCACTAGAACTTTCCACGAGACTGAAAAACAATTATGATTAAAATATTCTTAATTATTTTTGTCTTCTATCTATCACGGTCGAAATGAAATAATTCTTCCGTTTGAGAGAAATTGTTTAGCCTTCTTAGAAAACGATGATATAAGTAATGATAATAAATCTATGAAAATAGTGAAGAATTTAGAACTTATCCAACTTAAAAAAAATAATTTTAATATAACTTGCAGTCTTAATGAAAGCATTATAGCTTGAGTCTTTCAGATTGTAACAACACTATTTATATCTGAAATAATATTTATAAAAATCCAATTTATTAAATCCAAAGACTTCGTACACGGATGCCTGATTATTTATAAATGGAGATAAAAATCTGTTTCTTTGTTTTTCATATAAATTTTTAAGTGTTTCAACAGTTACATCAAAATCTCTGGTTAGATACAAATATTCCGAAGGTAATATTATTAATAAAGTTTTCAATAAAATCATCATGACTCTCTCTATTTTAAATGTGAATGCTCATACACCACTGTGAATCATCGTCTTCTGGAGTATTACAATTTTATTTCTTCATATTTTATAAGAAGAAATATGATCGTAATACGGAGTCATGTGATACGTTAAAATATGATTACATGTGATGAAATATGAAGTGTCTATGGCTTTCGTATACTTCGTCCTGAGTATTTACATGGAGTAAAATTAGTGGTATTTAATCAAAAGAAAACTGTCATTTGAATACATTCATCATACTTGTTAAAATCTATGTTAGATGTCTAGATTTCTTGTTATTTAAGAATTGTTTTTTTTTTTTTCTATGAATATTATTATTTGCTGTATTTCCATGAGGAAAAAGTAGATGATGTTTATTTTTACTGTATATTAGAATTTTTTAGAATAGAAGTAGTAATATAATATTTTTTCTATTATCATTATCAGAAAGAATATAATTCTTTTTTTTTTTTCTATTAAGTAAAAAGAAAAAATTAATAATTAGTTTCAACCCATTGAAACATAATAGAATTTTAAACAAGATTCAAAAGAAAAGATAGAGATATAATTATCATAAAATTCATGTGGAAGAGTTTTTCAAAAAAAAAAAAGAAGCAAAGTTATTCTAAATCAACTTCTATTCTCTTTTATTTTGTTTTATATTCATAATATATTACAGTGTAAACAAAATATCTATTAAATATGAATATAAAGTCTAACTCTAGACAATAAAAATTCATTAGTAACTTTATGTTATAATAATTAATTTGTTTTTTTTTCTTTCTTCCATCAATAAAGATACTACATATATATATATATATCATTTCTCATGAGTAAAAAGAAAAATCCAAGCATGATACTTTTCCTTCGATTGTTTTTATATACATGTGTATTGATGAATGGTGTTTGAGCATTACCACTCATAAGGTTTTACAAGTGTTCTCTTAGGAAACTTCTTTTTTTCTTTGTCGAGTCATAGGTTTTTTTTTTTAATACTACATGATTACATTCTCAAAGAACGATTCAAGCTTTTCACCTATCATATGCATTCATCACATACAGACAACAGACCCGAAGAAAAACACAATTACAGGGTTTTTGTTTTAATATATGACTCTATCCGTAAGTTACTTTTTTCATAGAATAGAAAGAGAAAAAAAAATCCGATGATAACAATTATTTAGTTGCTGCTTGTCGATCGACGATAATAATAATAACTAGAAAGAAGTGCTTATTTTTGTAATACAAATGATAATAAGGTATATTATTCTATATGAATAGAAATGTAAAAAAACAAAAATCTTTATTTGATTTGTTATTTCTATGTTTAAAATATTTTATTCAGATGTCATCGTTTCATAAAAGTAAAACTAATAACCAAGCTTTAGATGAGAAAAAAGAAAAAAAGGAAAAACAAGTTATGTAATCAATATAAATTTACTTGTTTTCTTTTCATCTACCAAAAAAATCAACAAAATAATTTTTTTTTAATTGACAAATAAATAGTTAAAAATAAGAAAAAAAACTAGAATATTTCATTGTGTTTACAGGAAACATATGCTATTGAGTATGTCAATGAAAGATATAACAGGATGTACTTAATCGTTTTCTATGGACATAATGAAAAAAATTTCGAGTACATTTATTGTCATTTGATAGAACTTAATGAAAAAAATGATAAAGAATGTAAATAAAATTATGTCGAAATGAATAGTTTAATAACAACAACAACAAAAAAAAAATAGTTTATTTATTTTATAGGTAATGACAACAAAAACAACGACTATGACAAGTAATCAACATTATAATTCATCAACTTGTTTAGAAGAATTTTCAATAGATTTTGTTAATAATCGATTAAATATTGATAACAACTCTTCTAATATTTATGATAAAATCAATGAAAAAAACGATAATAAAACATCATTATCATTAAATGAGGTTAAAAAGTATTGATTTATTTTTTTTTATAATATAAATCATGTGTTGGTTTTTTTTTTCTTCAAATAGATCGATGAATATTCATTAGAAACATCAATAAGAAAAAATTTATCAACAGAATCTATTCCATTAGTTCTTATCTGTGGTGTTTGTGGAGCACCAGCACATGGTTATAATTTTGATCAAATTACTTGTGAATCATGTAAAGCATTTTTTCGTCGAAATGCTTTAAAAAATACGGTAATTTAGTAAAAAATTATTTAATGTCAAAGTCGAGTTTTAATTTAAAAAAAAAATGAAATATTATGAAAGTTCTTTTTTGAACTCTGTATCTTAAAATAAACTGATGCTTATATATTTATAAATAGCAATTCTATTTGAATTCCGAGATTCCATATTTTATAAAAGAAGCTTCTTTTTATATCGAAATTTGAGTAGTGTCACATATCCAAGATTTTGGAGATGCCACCACATCTCCTGTGGGAGATGCCGCGTCTCCCGCTGGAGACGCGGCACCCACACTCGAGAGATGTGGTCATTCACCACTGGAGATGTAAGATCTCCTTTAGAGATGCGCATCCCTCACACCCACACCCTCATCTCTCGCGCGAGATGCGGAATCTCCCGCGGGAGACGCGGTGGCATCTCCAAAATCTTGGATATGTGACACTGCTGAAGATTATATAAAATCCTTTCTTTTTCTCATTAAATGAATTATTGTAAGTTTACATCTGACAGTTTTGTTAAAAAAAGAAACCTCAATTATCTGATTTAATTTGAATTTAATCCTATATATTTTTTTTAGCTTCAATTTAAATGCCGTTTTGATGGTACTTGTGTTATAAATATGCGTAATCGTCGTCAATGTAGTTATTGTCGATTAAAAAAATGTTTTGATATTAAAATGCGAAAAGATTGGATACGTACTGATGAAGAACGTCGATTACGACAATTAAAAAATTTATATAAACAACAAAAACATTTAAATAAATTATCTTTAGATGAACAACAATCAGTTATAAATTTTTCATTAGTTTTACGAAAAAAAAAACGTATTAAATCATTAATTACAAAACAATTAATAGAAGATCATACTATTTCAAAAATTGAATCAGTAAATAAAAAAAATATTTTTAATAAAAACTTTAATGATTAGTTTCTTTTTTTATTCTCTTATTTAGATTTATCCTATTAGTACTTTTGCAATTCATCGTAATTTATCTGATGATGATAGATTTATATTAAATAATATTATAAATGCATATAAACTTGGAGCTGATCAAGCTGATTATTCTCATTTTAATCGATGTACATCATCAACAACTTTAGTACAATTTTTAAATGATGAAAGTATTATGTATGAATCATTAATTTATTTTTATAAACAAATACCTGAATTCAAAACATATGATTTAAATGATCGAATATTATTAATTAAATGTAATGTAACTAAAACAATACATTTACATCATATAATTGTAGAAAATTTTCAAGAAATTGAATGTATGAGTGAACATATATCTCGATGGATAAGTCAAAATTTTCATGAACAAATGTTTAAAATACGAAGAAAATTTTATTGTTTTATGAAATATCCACTTATATTAAAAATAACATTGATTATATTTATATTTAGTATGAATTTATCAATACCATATCCTAATAGTCAATTTTCAAATTATAAAAATAAATATAAATTATATGAAAGTCAAAATTTTTATATTTCATTACTTTGGCGTTATTTAAATTATTTATTTAATGAATATGAAACAATACGATTAATACATTTTATTGTTACACAAATTTTACATTATCAAACATTAATGAATACAATGGATGAAATTATAAATAAAAATGATTATCAAAATGAATTTAATCCATTGATGCAATCAGTTTTCAGACTAACTTAAAAATAATATTCTTTGGTCTTTTTTTTTTTCTATGTTATTTTAGTATTGTTGACATATATTATATATATGAATACATGTGTCGGATAAAACATATGTTGGATACTTTTAAATTTTCCATGTAGATACAAGACTAGGAACATATTTCTATTTCATTATTGATTTAGTCATATTGAAATAGGCTCATGAAGAAAATTCTTGATATGTAATAAATAGTACATAAAAATAATACTAAAGATATTTAAATGTTAGACAAACTCAAAGATATGTAATATATACTCTTGGGAAAGTTTTTCTCATTCCGTGTCTCATTCTTTTCGTATCGAATATTATTATGAAGAATTATGTTATTTAAAACAATCAGTCAAAAGTACAAATGAGTTAGTTGATAGAATATATTTCATGGCTGGATTATCTTTTTGTTTTGATACTTTCCGATTATTTTACGTGTCATCGACTATAGCGTATTCTCGGAGCAGCTTACAGTCGGTGACAAAGTGAATTTAATAAGTCAAAACATTAAAAAGGTAAGCAGCTACAAAAAACAACAAAACACTTCATGCGTGAGGTATTCTGTCAATCAACTCATTTGCAGTGATCCTCTATTGTATCGAAAGGTGTATATTCTTCATTGAAGCAAAATGTCATGACTTATGCACTAGATTACAATAGAGGACTAAGATCTTCATTGTAATTAATATTCACTTGAGATTAAAGAGGTTCTATCTGAAAAGAATGATGACAGGGGAAGGGAAACACGTTAGTCTAGTGATGTAGAATTTGCAGTAGATCTTTTAGGATATTTAAATTCAGACAAAACAAATCTTCTTAAGTTTTTGAAAGATTCTTACGTTCAATCTATTTATAGCCTTCAATGAATAGATTCATAGTATTTTCAACTAAGAATTTGTTATCTTTTTTTTCTGAGAAAACTTCAAGGATATTAATATCTTGAAGTATTCGTCTGCTTTAAAACTTCAAACATGTTTCTTTATATCTAATTTTTTTCTTTGTAGCAATAAAATAAAAGAAGTGTATTTATTATTATCAACCATTATTTTATTAAGTGATAGAAAAATTATGATACTAAAAATAATATAATCTCATTGTTTTAAGCTATTATTATATATGTTAGCGTCCAATCTCTGATTAGCCTAGGCGAATCGTGGATGCTTACATTGGACTAGTCCAATATCGGATTGATGCAATTCAGTTCACTAAAATACCAATTACTCTTGAGATCGATGTTGGATTCGAATTATTTTTTTGAAATTATGGTTGCACAATGCCGTTTTAAATATTGCAGGCGTTCAGACAGAAATCAAATTTAGACTGAAGAACTTAATAACAACTTTTCATAAAAGTTGTTGTTCTGTAGAAATTTATTTATAACTCTTAAACTTTAACGTAAATCTGTCCAACGACGATTGTGATAAACAAATTGACATTATATGAACATAATTTCAAAAAGTAATTCGAATCCAACATCTATCTCAAGAGTAATTGATATTTTAGTGAACCGAATTGCATCAATCCGATATTGGACTAGTCCAATGTAAGCATCCACGATTCGCCTAGGCCAATCCGAGATTGGACT